TAATAGACAGACGCGAACGGTGAGCCAATCAATCAGATGTCGCCACAAAATCGCCACAGAAAAAGCGCTGGCAGGTTTTGGACACAGTGGCGACGGCTGTACTGGTGCAGACCACCCAAGTGTGTAGTTAGCCGAACATTGACCTCGCTTTACTTTGATGTGTGCCCGTCGTGGGTACCCAGTAACCACACCCCATTCTGGCGGTTAATCCGTCCTCATTACATAATTTATGAGTGTTACCTTCGGATGAAATTTAATCGTGGTCCAATTGGCCTTTCCATTGGCCAAATTACGTTGGGCAAAACAGGAACAGTATTTTGCCAGGTAAGATTATCAATACTGTTTCTCTTATGTGACAGGTGTATTCAGGCCTCGCCTGTTTGCGGTTTTGGTGCTTATTCAGGAGAGCACAGAGGGTTTGGTTGTTCAAGCATAGGAGAAGAATTAGGTGGCACTTTTATCATAAGATGGAATTTAATAGTCCTCCGAGGCAACCTTCACCAGGAATGCCTTGACATTTGCAAAGCCCTGGTGGCCTTTTTTTGCGTACGTACACTCAATAAGGAAAGCCTGTGTGCGAATACTTATACGAGGCAACATCAAAGACGCGAATTGTCAGGCCACTGTCATAAGCACTTAAAAGAATCAAATGAGCAATGCACCTTAGGCGGTTGACTCCAGTTTCCAGCCGGAATATCCACCGAGGCCAGCAAAAACCAACGATTTCACGCTAAAAGTCAAATGACACACACAGCCATGGCAAAATATATCCAGTGTCAAAACCATTCATAAACAAATAATGTAACGTCCACTAAGACTTCAGAATACTGGCATTTGTATCACCGGTATCTATGAAATGAACCTCCCTGCTGTCCATACTCTTAGTCCTAAGGCTTAAAATCCTTCTGTAATTATTCAGACTACACGACCAAAAACCTGGCAAGGCTGAGAAAAAAGTATTCCAGTGGATGGAAACACGTTAGAAAATCGGAAGTTATAGAAAGCACAAATTTGCATGCATGTAGGATAGGAGAGTGAAGGACGAATTCTATTAATTGTAGAATGGAGATCCTCCCGGGCTTGAAATTTATGAAGTAACAAATTGTATCAGTCCGTCATAAAACCCTGGCTGTTGACCAACCACATTTTTCGATCTATATTTCCTGAACTAGGCTGAACGTATTATTGCCTCTTGCCGAAATGGGGTGCACAAATTCGAATTTTCCAATTTGAAATTCCTTATCAAACATGCAAAAGCCAGAATGGGCAATCAGAAGTCGCCACTCAATGAATCTGGACACTTTAGGAATTATAATGACCAATTCAATGAATTATGATATACTCTGGGCATCGGCTACATCTCAATGAAAGGAAACGGACAGCATCGATGTAACTGGCTACAGTATTTTAGAAGTGCACATCAGAAAAAAAATATCCACGTAACTACCGCGCGTCAATCTAGACATTAAGTACATGCCCGAAACATTCACATCGCAAAAGGGAAGACTCGGCCTTTTCTTGATTTCTTCAAGACGCAGATCGCAGCAGCCTTCAGCCTGTTTTTATCGTGTAAAATCATAGTGAGCCTATCATAGTGACCCATACAAATAACCACATTTCTAGATGGA